TCTAAACCTCATAGAGACCCCCCTGCCTCTGCCTCCCCAGTGCTGGGACTAAAGGCGTGCACCACCACCGCCTGGCCCATTTTTAATTTTTTTATAAGATTATTTATTGGGGCTGGAGAGATGGCTCAGAGGCTAAGAGCACTGGCTGCTCTTCCAGAGGTCCTGAGTTCAATTCCCAGCAACCACATGGTGGCTCACAGCCATCAGTTATGAGATCTGGTGCCCTCCTCTGGTGTGCAGATGTACATGGAAGCAGAATGTTGTATACAAAATAAATAAAATATTTTTAAAAAGATTATTTATTATGCCAGGTGTTGGTGGCGCACTCCTTTAATCCCAGCACTTGGGAGGCAGAGGCTGATGGATCTCTGTGCGTTTAAGGCCAGCCTGGTCTACCAAGTGAGTTCCAGGACAGCCTCCAAAACAATACAGAGAAACCCTGTCTGGAAAAACCAAAAAGAAAAAAGAAAAAGCAGCCTGGTCGAATGGCAGGTTCAAAGCTCTTCAGGAATACAGAGGAGGTGCAATCTCGTCAGACCAAACCAAACCAGAAGAAAACCTAATTCCAAAGTCCTCATCTGATCCACGTCGAAGATCAGACAAACATTTTCAAAAAAGATTTGATTTATTTATTATGCATACAGTCTTCTGCCTGCATGTACACCTGCAGGCCAGAAGGAGGCACCAGATCTCATACAGATGGTTGTGAGCCACCATGTGGTTGCTGGGAATTGAACTCAGGACCCCTGGAAGAGCAGTCAGTGCTCTTAACCTCTGAGCCATCTCTCCAGCCCCATACCCCCGCCCCATTAAAAAAAAATAATCTTGCAAAAAGAAGAATGAATAAGGATGACAAACCTACCCATTCCAAAACAGCCTGGATAACATAGGACTCCACTGCCATGGTGGCACGGGTAACCTGGGCACATAGGATCCTGTCTTAAAAAAATTAAGCTGCATTCTTACTAGGGGCTGGATTAGTTGCAAAGAAGCCACTCTGGAAGCTGAAGCAGGGAGTGAGCATTCTCATGCAGCCTGGGTTACCTAGTGAGACTCTGTCAAAAATAAATAAACAAACAAACAAGAAGAAAGGAAGGTGGGAGGGGAGGAGGGAGGGGAGGAGGGTGGGGAGGAGGAAGGGAGGGAGGAGGGCGAGAATGTGAAAAGAAGGCAACAATGCATCTGAGCAGTATTTTTTTAGTGTCTCACTGGCTTTGCTGTAGGTGACATGGCTGATGTGTAGGTCATGGAGACAATGGTCACCTGGGTCCTCTCTTCCCTTGAGGCCTTGCAAGTGTTTAAGGAGTGGCTTTTTGTTTTGTTTTGTTTTTTGAGACAGGGTTTCTCTGTGTAGCTTTGGAGCCTATCCTGGCACTCGCTCTGTAGACCAGGCTGGCCTCGAACTCACAGAGATCTGCCTGCCTCTGCCTCCCGAGTGCTGGGACTAAAGGCGTGCGCCACCACTGCCTGGCTAGGAGTGACTTTTGTATGCAGAGACTGAAAGCTCTACCCTCAGATCATGCCCACAGCATGGTTTTCTGAACATGTGTCCCATGAAGAGCCATAATGGTCAACATCCCCACCGGCTTCCCCCATATCTTAAATCACACAAGGGCCCCAGCCCAAGTCCATTTATTTACCTTCTGAAAAGCCTAGTGTTTCCAGGCCATGGAAGATGACAGGGAAGCTGGTGGCAGGCTCCTGCTGACCAAGAGCTCAGCTCAGCCCAGGGCAAGAAGGCCTAGGTTAGGAAAGGGCTGATAACCAGGGCTGTCCAGGTGCTGCTCCAGGGGTTCTGGAGTGAATTGTGAAACCCTGCAGCTGGTCATTAGTGAAGCCTGATGTGCGGGCATCATACCCCTTCTTATCTTCTTATCTCAGCCTTGAAGCAGGAAACATTCCTCAAATGCTAACAGGGCTGCAGGTAGAATGGAGCTGAGTGTGTCCCAAAGGTTAAGGTCACAAAGTAGAGTCTAAAGGGACAATGTGAAAGCAAAGGGACTTTATTTATTTTTTGAGACAGGATCTCACTATGTAGCCCTGCCTGGCCTGGAACTCTGTATAGACCAGGCTGACCTCAAACTCACAGAGATCTTCCCTGCCTCTGCCTCCTAAGTGCTGAGGTTAAAGGTATGGCACCAATGCCCAGCAGATTTTTAAATTATTACTAATGTATTTATGTGTATGGCTGTATGGCTGTGTATGTTTATGTACCACATGTGTGCCTGATTCCTGGAGATGACCATAAGAGAGAAGAAAAACATACTTGTTGAATTCTGACCTGACCTGACCCTTGGGCTAACACTGAGGTCAGCCTGCTCCTCAGGCATGTATATATATGGACTTTACAGGACTTTGACTAACCTGCATTGCTCTGCTTCTGTGACTGCAAGGCTTTCTGCTCCTCATCAAACAGAAATACCATGGCGATCCAACTGTGCCCTGGTTCTTAGTAAAAAGTTCTTATCCTGCCATGCTTGCTAACCGTCATGGCAGCTACAATGAGACATATCAAACTTGTGGTTTTACCTTTATAAGGCCCCTGCTCATAATGTATACCTGTAATGTCAGCATTTAGAAGATGAAAATAGGAAGATTAGCAGTTCAAGGCCAGCCTCTGCCACATCGTGAGTTTGAGGCAGAAGGAAAAGAACCTCTGTGAATTCCAGGCCAGCCTAGGCTACAGAGAGACCCTTTCTCAAACAAAAACCAAAAACAAACACCAAAACAAAAAGGCTCAAAAATAGAGGAATGGGTCAGTGAGATAGCTCAGTGGGTAAAAGTACCTGAGTGCAAGCCTGAGGACCAGACTTTAGCACTGGAGGCCTATCCTTGAGTCCCTGGCATGCCTGTGCCTGCAGGCACATACTTCAGTGTACAGTATTTTTAGGACCCAGTGATAATGAAAAGGTACCATAATAAAACTTTATAGTTACACTGGAAGGGAAGTCAAGGCCTGGGGCGGCAGCCAGTACCTGCAATCCCACTGTAAAGAAAACATGCACTTCTGGTGGAGACAGGCCCTTGTCAAGTCCTTTAAGGGTTGAGACTGTCAGGCAGGCCAAGGACCTGGCTAGGGGACATTCCTAGGAAGGCAAGTTCACCTAAGATGTAGTTTTCTTCTCAAAATTTCCATCACCTATGCAGTCCCTATCCAGAGCCAGAGCTACCACGAAGCTCCATTAGCTTCCGGCTTCTTTGTCCTCTCATCCCCACTGGTGGCTGCCTCCAGGCGGCTGCCCTCCTGGCCACATCCCTAACAAGGTGGTATTTGTTCTTCTCTTCTCCATCCTGCTCCTCCCTTCCAGGAAGCTGTGAGGTTTACAGCTCCCCCACCCTGGGCTTCGCCTTTCCTTTTTTTTTTTTTTTTTTTTTTTTTTTTTTTTTTTTGTTTTGTTTTGTTTTTCGAGACAGGGTTTCTCTGTGGCTTTGGAGTATGTCCTGGAACTAGCTCTGGTCTTGAACTCACAGAGATCCTCTGCCTCTGCCTCCCGAGTACTGAGTACTGGGATTAAAGGCGTGCGCCACCAATGCCCGGCTGGGCTACTCCTTTCAAACTGTAATACACTGTCCTGAGCTTCAGTGTGAGTCAGTTCTCTTTGAGCTTGTGTTTGTGTTCGTTCTTAAATTCTTTTATTAATGAAACCAAGAACTCCAAGAGGAAATCCTGAGTTCCCAGATATCACAAGAAAACCTGTTGGGACTCCCCAGGATTCCCGGTGACTCTTCTCACTCCCCATTTAATTCTTTAATTAGTAGAGAAAATGAACTTATTGCACTTTAGACAAAGTCACCACCACTTGAGAAACTGAGGCAGGAAGATCGACCAAGAATTTGGGGGCAGCCTGGGCTACACATCTGAGTTCCATGGAGACCTAAGCTATGGCCTGAAATCCTCAAGGTAGAGGCCATGAAGGTGCTGCTTACTGGTTTTCTCCCCATGAGCTGCTCAGTCAGTTTGCTTTCTTACACACCCTAGGACCACCAGGGTCCTCAATGGGCTGGGCTCTCCACATCAATCACTACTCAAGAAAATGTGCCACAGGCCTTCCCATAGGTGGGGGAATTTTCTCAGCTGGTTTCCTCTTTCTAAATGACTGTATCTTGTGTCAAGTTGACATAGAACTAGCCAGCACACTGGGCATGCCCTAACATTCTGTTATCACCCTAATCTTTTAAACAGGTGCTCTGTGACTTTTTTCCTTTCTTTCTTTTTCTTTCTTTCTTTTTTTTTTTTTGAACAGGGTTTCTCTGTGTAACGCTGGCTGTCCAGGAACTATGTATACCAGGCTGGCCTCAAACTCAGAGATCCACCTGCCTCCCAAGTGCTGAGATTATAGGCATGCACCACTATGCCTGGCTCAACTTTAAGTTTTTGGTGGGTGAGTCATACAATGTGATTATATGTTTATAATACATTAGATTTAAGAATTTTTGTGTGCCTTTGTATGGGTAAGGGCAGCTGAGTGCCCTTGGTGGGCAGAAGAGGGAGGACATTAGGTCCCTTACAGCCGGAGTCACAGGCAGTTGCTGAGCTATCTGTGGGTTTTGGGAGTCAAACTCTGTCCCCTGCAATAGTAGTATGAACTCTATCTAACTGCTGACAGTCTCTCTAGCCCCATTGTTTTTTGAGACAGTTTCATGTAGCTCAGACTGGTCTCAAACTTGGTATACAGCAAAGCCTGGCTTGGAATTAATATCCCCTCACTTCTGAGTGCTAGGATTATAATAGATTCCAGCACCTGGCCATGTTTAAAATTTTGATATAGAGATATTCACACTATTTTTCTTAATGGTTCACTTTTGTTTATTTTGCCTGTGTGTCATGTGTGCAGTGCCCACAGAAGCCAGTAGAGGGCACCAGACCCTCTGTCTGGAACTGAGTCGCAGACAGTTTTAACTGTCCTGAGTGTTAGGAACCGAGCTGCGATCCTTTGCTGAGACATCTCTGCAGTCGTCCTGCCATTTTATTTTTTAAAAATCTGGGGGCTGGAGAGATGGCTCAGTGGCTAAGAGCACTGCCTGCCCTTCCAGAGGTCCCGAGTTCAAGTCCCAGCAACCATATGGTGGCTCACAATCATCTATAATGAGATCTAGTGCAGGGATACTGGGGTGTAAACTGGGCAGTGGTGGCTCACTCTTTTAATCCCAGAACTTGGAGGCAGAGGCAGGGGGATCTCTGAGTTTGAGATCAGCCTGCTCTACAAAGTGAGTTCCAGGATAGTCAGGGCTACACGGAGAAATCCTGTCTCAAACAAAACAAAACAGCCAAGAAAACCAGAAAATGAATAAAAAGCTGTAAACGGCCCAAATGGAAACTAGGGAAAGAAAACTATCACATGCTTTTGGTAGAAATAATCTGACATACAAATTTACTTCCATCTTTTTTTAAAAGGTAAGGCAGACTCACACTCCTTCAGCAGTACCTCTGAAGATATGCTCAATGACAGAGCTTTGGCTTGCTTCACAAACTTCCAAAGAGTTGACCTTGGCAGCCTGCCAAACCCTTCAGGACCAGGCTAATCCCTTTGGGATTAGTGACAATCAATATAAGGCACAGGGGTTGGGTTTGCCAGCCCTCTTGGACCTGTTCCTACAGGCAACAGACTTGGCTCATCATCAGAGAGGGAGATTTCTAGTGAAGGAACCGGTGAGCTCAGCTGAGCTGTCCAGGCCTTTCTGCTTGACACAGGGACGCCAGCAATGGGTCTCCCGTCTTCCATCCATTCAGTCAGCAGCAGCTCAGTGTACTAGGTTCCCATTGATTAAAATGGGCTGGAAAAGCCATCATTGATGGGAAGGGAAGCTACTTTATTGCACTGATGATCCTGTAAGAGAAAGGTGAAGCAGGGCGGTCTGCCCTTGAACTCCAACAATCACTTCACATTTATCAGCTTTAGAGTCCAGGCAAACTCCACAGGGAGAGCAGTCGGTGGCAATGGGGGCAGAGAGATGAGGAACCCATCCTGGAGATCTTGGGTCCAGGTCAAATATCCTTCCATTCCTAGCATTGTAACCTGGGGAAAGCAAAGGGGATGGAAAGACCCCGTTATTCACTGAGGAGCGGACTTTGTCCCAAACATGATGGGGAGCAACTGGGCTGGCCCACGTCAGTGAGGACACTCTAGTGGGACACACATGAGGGAGGAAGGAGTACAAGCCTGCCATTGCTTTTTTATGAAAGTTACATCTATCCAGGCATGGTGACACAGCCTGGGGCTAGCCTGAGCTACATAAAGAGAACCTGGCTTGCCTTTAATCCCAGCGCATGGAGGCAGAGGCAGGTAGATCTCTGTTGAGGTCAAGGCCAGCCTGGTCTACAGAGTTACAGAATGAGTTCCAGGACAACCAGGGCTGTTACAAAAAGAAACCAAGCCTTGAGAAGAGAGAGAGAGAAACCTGGCTACAGAACAAAACAAAACAGGATCTTGGGATGTAGTTCAGTGGTGGAGTGTTTGCCTGAGCATGCCTAGGCCCTGGGGTCTGTTCCCAGCACTGGAAAAATAAAAAACAAAACAAAGACAAGTTATAGCTTAGGAGGGATGACGAGTCTCCTTACCTTTGTGGCTGAGGTCGTTTGGGGAGATTTAAGGTTTATGATCCCATTTTCTGGCCAGTACAGAAAGGTAGCATAGACAGCCGAGTCTTTAGAGGTATACCTGGAAACAAGAAACACCAGTGTCCACAGGGAGTTGAGTGGTGTCCCAGACAGATACCTTGCCCGTTAAAGACCTTGTGTTTGTCACGACTACTTGGAAGTGAGAGTAAGGTGAAGAAGAAAGGGGTCTAGAAAACTTTTTGAAACAACAGAGGGTGTAACAAGGAAACACACAAATGGTGACACATTTACTGGCCTGAGGGTTCAGCATGTTCAGGAAATAAGGATGAAAACCATCTCATAGAAATTCATCCGTAAGGATTAATGTGTCCCCAGTGGGAGAGCAAGGTGCTCTGGTGTGACACCAGTCTCCTTTGAAGGATGCTGAGCTCAGGCCTGCGCACTGCTGGGTCCTCACTCACAATGTCACTTAGTCACCAAAGCAAGTCTGTGAAGCCACGTACCACCCACTCACTCTGCAGCTGAAAAAACTGAGGTTCAAGATCAAATAACTAGATCTGGAGGTCCAGGTAAGGATGGGAAGGGTTTAGGATGGAGCCCTGCACAGGGTGTCCGGAGACAGAACTCAGCTGGGACATGAATGTTACAGCAAGAGGCAAGACAACCTCCAGCCTTGGAACCAGATGGAGGAACCTGAGAATGTGCAGGTCAGCAAGGGCCACTGGCCACGCCGGCACCCATCACAAGTGTGATGTACAACATACTGATAAATTGTCAAGTGTTGTTTGGGTTCACCTAAAAGCTGGCTCAGGAAGGGGGTGCCCCTGGCCACATTTCAGATCTAAGCATGTTTGTCTCAAAGTGTTCTAAGGCTAACTATGACAGGGAGGGAAACAGCAGAACAGCCCAAGAGCAAAACCCTTGAGTCTCTGAGAACAGCTAGGTCAGCCATCTCCAAAAGGGATCCCCTTATTTATCTCCCGATATAAAAGCACCTGCAGGGGAATGAGAAACCAGAAATCCAGCCATGGGCAGCTTATCCATGGAGACAAAATACATTTGGAACTCCAGCTGACTGCCCCAACTTCCCTAGTTGTACTACTGGATGTTGTGAGCCCCTGATTTGATGACATTTTCTTTCTTGGTTGCTATCTGCTGTATTTTTGCTCAGATACCTCACCCAAAGGGACAGAGCTCTGCCCAGGACTCACTCTGTCAGGCACTCCTGACTGCCTCCGGCTCCCCTATCTATCTATCTATCTATCTATCTATCTATCTATCTATCTATCTATCTATCTACCTACCTACCTACCATTATCTCTTGCTGTTTATCATCTTGGCTAACAATATGGCTATTGTCAATCATCCTCCTGACCATACAAGAAGGCAAGACTCACCACACGACTGTTATGTTCTTTTCGAACTGCACTCTCCAGGGATGGGAGGCATAGATGGCCTCCCCGTTGATCTGCAGCCACTTGCCAACAGCAAGAAGCCTTTCTTGGAAGATGGGATCGATCAGTCCATCCTTAGTTGGTCCAATGTTGAGGAGATAGTTGCCTCCCAAACTTACTGTCTGAATCAATTCCTAAAGAGAGCAGAGACAATGGAAGTTGAGGCATGACTACCAAGCCTGGCATGGCATCTAGAACACGCAGACAGTGAGGGGTATTAGACAAGAAAAGCCCTGGGTTCAATCCTTAGCACTGCAAAGGGGAAAAAAGGGAAGGTGAGTTACACTTAGAGCTGGACATGACGGCACACGTCTCCCTAAGCTGTTAAAGGACAAACGATGTGAACCTTTGGGAAAACTGATGCAAAGAAAGCTGGGCATGCTGGCCTATGCCTTGAATTCCAGCACTTGGGGTGGGGAAAGGCAAGAAGATCAGGAGTTCAAAGTCATCCTTGGCTACAATACCAAGTTTGAGACCAGCATGGACTACATGAGACCCAGTCTCAACAAACAAAAACTGTCATAAAGAGACATATTCTGAAGGCATCCTGGAGAGGAACTTGTGTGGGGGTATTTGCTGTGACCCCAAGCAAGTGTCACCAAGGCCACCCAGGACTAAGTTTGCATTTGGGAACATTTACCGGCACAAGCCCCTTAGAGGACTCCCCGTCGACTTCTGATGTCTTTTCAGCCTTCTTCCCTCTGTTGCTTTTCGCAGCTGAAGCTGTACACGGCATTTCATCCCACCACCCGAGCCAGTGGCCAGCTGAGCGCTGTTCAGTACCACAGTGCTCACGGACAGCCCTCCTGCCTCCTGAATTACCCATTAAAGTTGCAAGAAACTGAAACCACACAAGTTAACTGAAAATGTTCCTGGGAAGGAATGCCAACAATGATGACCCGGAGGGTGAGCGCTTGTCTTATGAGCAAGAGGACCTGAGTTCACCCCCAGAATTCATGTTCAAACAAACACATCAAGTCAGCAATAAACAAAACAATGGGAGGCTGTGGTGTGGCGCACACTTGTCATCTTTGTCTTGGGGAACAGAAATGAAGGCTCCCTGAATGGCCAGTTCCAGGCTAGTAAGAGATCTTGTCCCTCCCCCATAGATGGAACCTGAAGAATGGCACTTCAGGTTGTGCTCTGGAGGTCACAACACAGCTATATACACACATCACAGCACTCACACATACACATATACACACACCCTCCCAACAAGAAGGAAAAGGAAGGAAAGTCCTGGAAAGAACATCTCTGTAGATAAAGCTTTCTCTGAGGCTAAGAAGATGGCAGAGTTGAAGTCCCTTGCCAACAAGTTTGATCTTCAGGACTCACAGGATGGAAGGAGAGACGTGACTGTCAAGTTGTCTGCTCACCTGTACTCGTACACCGTGGCACACAATTACCCCCGCCCCCAAACAAATAAATGGATGTAATTTAAAAAGGTTTCAGCTGGGTGTGGTGACACACGCCTTTAATCCCAGCACTCAGGAGGCAGAGGCAGGCTGATCTTTGCGAGTCCCAGGCCAGCCTGGTCTAAAAAGTGAGTTCTAGGACAGCTAGTGCTACACAGGAAACCTTGTCTCAAAAAACCAAAAAGAAAACAAGAAAGAAAAGGTTTCAAAGCTCCAATCCCTTTCTTTGTAACAGTGACAATGTGCTCAGGAGTGTTTTGTCTCTGTGTGCTGTGGCCCTGGCAGGTTTTAGCAACCCAACTCCAGGTCAGAGGGCTGCCTTGAGGTAAGCAGTTGAACAACCGAGGCGAATGCTCTTACCTCAATGATTTCCTGTTCGCTGGCAATGGTAGACAGGGTCATGTCCCGTCTGTAGCCCCAGGATGCCGAGTCCACGCTGGTACACATCTCCCACTTGTGTTTTGGTAAGCTGTGCGGTGTGTATTTATCTTCACAGTTGTAGTACCCTCCATGGTGACAGGAGCAGTTCTGACCCCAGCGGTCATTCACCACCACCTCGTCCTAGAGGAGGAAGGAGAATGGGTCACTGGACAGCACCTTCGGCAGTGCAGACACACCTGGTGACAGTGTTTGGAAGGAAGGACAGTGGTACTAACTGGTGTCTTCTTCTGTACTATTTTACACTTCTGTAAAGGCACACATGGGAAACGAGGCACAAGGGTGGTGCTGCTACCCAGTGGGAGAAGCCAGAGTTGCTGACAAACATTCTACCATGTGGAGGGCAGTGTCTGTGACATAGAAGCACCTAGCCTCTAATGTTAGCAATGCCCAAGCCCAGGAAGCCAGCCGAGAGACGCACAGAGGAAGTGTGATGCATGGGGTAGCTTTACAGCTCATCTGCGGGCTCAGGAGGTGAAGTGCTCGCTGTGAAAGCATTGGGACTCCAGCACTTGTAGAACTAGAGAGATGGCTCAACAGTTAAGAGTGCGTGATGCTCTTACAAAGGATGTGGCTTCGGTTCCCAGCAACCACACGGTGACTCACAACCAACTGCCTGTGACTCCAGGCCCAGGGGATCCGACATCCTCTCCTGACCTCCACTGGCTCCTGCACACACATAATTCTCAAAGGCAAAACACTCATTCACATAAATAACACGTGGCCTGGACTTGTTTTCCGGCACTCACATGGTGACTCAGTTATAGGAGATCCTTCTGTGGGCTCCTGCATGCACTCAGTACACATAAAGTTATACAGGCATACATCCATACACATATAATAAATAAACTTTGAAAAATGTGTCTGGGCGTTTTGCCTGCTATGTGGGTGCACCTGTGTGCAGTACTTGAGAAGGCCAGAAAAGGGTGCACGCTGCCCTTTTACTGTTGTTTCAGGCGGTTGTCCGTGATCCACCATGTTAGTGCTGGAAAGGCAACTCAGAGCAGTACATGTTCTAACCACTGTGCCCTCTCCCCAGCCCTCGCTGTGGGATTTTTGTTTTGTGTGAGACTCTGTGTAACAGTCCTGGAACTCACTTTGTAGACTAGACTGGCCTTGAACTTACAGAGATCCCCATGACAGAGTGCTGGGATTAAAGGTGTGTGCCACCACTGCCCAGCTTTGCTGTGCTTTTTAAATACTTGTGGTTGACACCTGCTCCACTCACCAATGCTGCATCTTTGCTTATCTTTTTTTCCCTGTTAGTGATTCTCCTTAATCAGGCAAAGGTGGCTGTCATCCTACACGGCAAATGACCTGCTTCCATGAAGGCACAGACCAGGAGGCATGAGGTTATCAACTGTCTTAGATTTATTTGTTTGTTTCTTGAGACAGAGTCCTACTTTGTAGACCTGGCTGGCCTGGGAACTCATTGTATAGACTAGGTTGGCCTTGAACTCACAGAGATCCACCTGTCTTCTGACTGCTGGGATTAAAGAGGTGCACCACCATTCCTGGCAGTCAACTGCTCACTCATAACTGTATTTCACTGTGGCAGAGACAGGGGTGCTATGGTGAATAACAGTGTTTGCCTAAAAACTTTATTTAAGCAGAGACTTTGCAGAGTAGACAGATGTGGACAATTTACACCATAATATTCTTTCAGTGCTAGTTACCTGGGGATGAACTGCACATCTGGGAGTCCCCCGAGACTTGGCAAGTCCCTAAAGGCAAGCCTTGCACCGCCGTTAAAATGTTCTCCCAGTGAGTTACACTCCAACCCATGAGAACCCTCAGTCAGCATTCATTACTCAGGGAAGGGTGTCTCTTCTCTCTTTCCTTCCCATTTCCCTAGTTTTGTAATAACTACCCAATAATACCCCACAGAGCCCAGAGGTGGTGGCACATGCCTTTAATCCCAGCACTCAGGAGGCAGAGGCAGAGGCAGGCAGATCTTTGTGAGCTTGAGACCAGTCTGGTCTATAAGAGCTAGTGCCAGGACAGTCTCCAAAGCCACAGAGAAACCCTG